TTTTCTATGCATTCCCTGTCAGTATTTACCAAGGGCTTAGCACCACCGGAAACCCTGGTGGCGCAGTGGTTAAGAGCTCAGGCTGCTAACCAAAAGGTCGGCGGTTTGAATCCACCAGTTGCTCCTTGGAAACCTTATGGGGCAGTTCTACTCTGTCCTATAGGGTCGCTGTGAGTCGGAATCGACTCGACGACTAGTTTGGTTTTGGTTTACCACCAACCTCTCTGAACGGTCCACTGCACCGAGCCACTCGTGTTTCCCCCTCATGTCATCAGCCTTCTCGAGCCGTGTCTCCAGAGGCTGTTTCCACAACAGTCCACGCTGTGCAAGCTGAGTTCACTGACTGAGACCCAGCCAGCACCAGGGGAGCAAGGACTTAACCGCTCTCTTGTGGAGCCAGGAGATTTGACCATTTAGTACCCAATGGGACACAGTTCATAATCTACACCATTTACTTCCAGTCAGGAGAGGAAGACTTCTTCAGTAAATGATGAAGGGAAAATGGGCTGTTTTGGGAAAACTGGGGCCTATCTCACATGGAATACTAAAGGAAATTCTAGCTGCTTCTATTGCTAAAAATGAAACAATAACACAGCTAAAAGACAATGCATCTGGAGATTCAGCTGACCCAGGGATTAAAAAAAAGATATATTAATAGTGAACAAAAGCCAACAAGAGAAGCCAAAAAGGAAAGATCAATATAATTAATCAGACAGATTTAAAACTTCCGAACAAAATTAAAACGCAAGTGGAAAACTGGAAAAATATTTCAAGCACTATTACAAGTTATTTCAAAAACATAAACACCTCATAGAAAAAAATGCCAAAAACTCATTAATAGACAATTCAAAGAACCACAAATAAATGGTCAATAAACAGGAAAAAAGTTCAATCAAATTAATTCAAATTAAAACTGTGACACTAACCCATTGCCATTGAGTCGATTCCAACTCACAGTGACCCTGTAGGACAGAGCAGAACTGCCCCAGAGGGTTTCCAAGGAGCAGCTGATGGATTTGAACTGCCGACCTTTTGGTTAGCAGCTGAGTGCTTAACCACTGCGCACACTACCAACTTGAAAAAAAAAATTTTTTAACTCAATACCCAAAGTTGACAATGAAATGAGCACACAAACCACTATTAAGAGGGCTAACTGTTCCAATCCTGCTGGAAAGCAACCTGGCCTTTTACGCGGTTATTCTACTTCTGGAATACCGAATATTTAAAGATGTACCAAAATATATGGGCATGGATATTCATTACACCGTTATTAGAAATAAACTGGGTTCAACAATAGAGAAAGACTATATAAACTGCAATCATTAAGTATCATATTTTGAAGAGTATTTAATGCCAGAAATAAATGTTAACGCCAGAAAATTGAATGAAAAAAGTAATCAGGGTGTAAAACTATTTAGTTCTGCAGAAAAGGGGCACACGTGTATGCATAAAGACGTCTGCCGGGAAGAAGACTGGAAAGAAACAATCAAAATACCAGCAGGTGTATCTGGCTCATAGAAGTAAATCATCCTTACTCCCATCTTCATTTTCCACACTTGTAAATTTCTTACAGAAATAGTAAAAGTTTTTAAAAATCCACCAGAACATATACAACGCCTTAGGCCCTCAACTGAAAACTGCTATGAAAACACCAAAAAACTCCTTATAACGTCAGGTGTGTAAGTTATTAAGCTAGTTCTTGGCATCATTTGAGAAGGCAGCTATCAGTGCTCGAGCTGCAAAAGCAGATGAAATGTGAGACGAAAAGCAAACAGCCAATTAGAAGCTGACAAGGTGGTTTTTCTCGACAAGGTGGGCCTTGTCTCCCTGGGGCTACCTCTGGCTGGGCCCATTTAAGCTTTCCTGCTTAAACGAGAGGGGTACACCAGGAAATCACTGAGGTGTCTCAGACTTTAAAATTCCTCGAACTGCAGAAGGGAAACAAATACAGGAAGGCCATCATGGTCCACAAGTGACTTCATAAAGTCATGCCCCCCTTTTGAAAGTATAATACATTGCAATGACAAAGCCAGTGAGCAGAATAGCTTAAAGCAGTAAGCTTTAAATCAGATCACCGGAGCACCTGTTTAAACCCCACCCCCAGCCCAATCAGTGGGGAGTAGTTACTGACAATTTGCATTTCTAACAAGCTCCCAGGTGATGCCGAAGCCACTGGTCTGAGTACCATACTTGAGAAACCCATCACCATCGAGTCGATTCCGACTCATAGCGACTCTAGAGGACAGGGTACAACTTCCCCATAGTTTCCAAGGAACCCCTGGTGGATTCAAACTGCCGACCTTCTGGTTAGCAGCCGTAGCTCTCAACCACTACGCCACCAGGGTTTCCATACTTTGAGAACAGTGTCTTAAAGCATGGTGTGGGGATAGATGTTTCACACACATTCTCTCTACCAAGAAGAACTTTTAAGAACTCCCCTTGAGAAACTCCAGCCTTTAAGAGCAAAGATGTGTTCAAAATAGCCTCCCCCCGCGTTTGGGTGGTGCAAATGGTTAAGGGCTCAACTACTAGCCAAAAGGTGGGCGGTTCAAACACACCCAGAGGCGCCTTGGGAGACAAGCAGTGATCTGCTTCCAAAAGGTCACAGCCTTGAAAATCCTATGGAGCAGTTCTACCCTGGACACATGGGGTTTTGCCACGAGTCCAAATCGACTCCACAGCAACTAACAACAACAACACACGTGCAGGTGGGGCCCTGGTGGCTCAGTGGTCGAATTCTCGCCATCCACGTGGGAGACCCGGTTAGATTCCCAGCAATGCACCACCACCACCCCTCCGTGAGTGGAGCTTCCAGGCTCGGAGGAAAAGCTCACAATCTATTTCCAAACACCGCCCAATGAAAACTCTACGGATCACAACTTTCCGAGCCGCACCGATCCCGAGGACCAGGCTGCGTTTCATTCTGTTGTGCATGGGGGTTGCCACGAGTCAGGGCCAACAAGACAGCAGCTAATAACCACAACGACCCTAGAGAAGCTACACAGTATAGCAGTTACCAACAGCGGCTCTGGAGCCAGACTGCCTGGCTTTGCATCCTGCTAGACCATTCCTGATGCCCTGGTGGCGCAGTGGTTAAGAGCTCAGCTGCTAACCAAAAGGTTGGCAGTTCAAATCCCCCAGCCGCTCCTTGGAAACCCTATGGTTCTACTCTGTCCTATAAGGCAATGGATTTATTTTTTTAGACCATTACTAGCTCTGCGGTCCGAAGCAACTTATTCAACTTCTCCGCTACAGTATCTCCGTGTGTAAAACAGAGATAACAACTTTTTCCCCTCCAGCAGGGAAACCAGAAATGGGTACCAGTCATCCATCACCTTCCCATTTCCTTCAATTCTTCAGTTCTGCCCTGAAAATCCACAAATAAGAAGTGCTTCAACAGTTTATTGCCCTGCCTAAAGTTAAGGAGCCCATCTGCCTACCTTCAGGTCATTTACTGTAACCACACCCATATTCCTTCCTCTGCCAGCAGTCAACAGGTGTCCCTGAACACTGAAAAAACTACAATTAAAACAAGAGTAGGAGCACTCATCCCCTTGGGTTTTCCCATATAAAAAAAAGGGGGGGGGCAGTAGAATATTATTCATCAGAATATGTGGAAAAGGTGAAAGGGCAGAGATCAAGAAACAAAAGTTCTAATTATCAACCAAGTGAGATTAAAACCCAAAGGCTCAGGCCTACCTAGTTAACTGTCACAGATCCAAACCAAAAACCAAACCCACTGCTGTAGAGCTGATTACCGACTCATAGTGACCCTGTCACAGATACTAGCTAGAAATCCTTAGTTAAGATGCTTCACCTCTCTGAGCACTCTGCAAGTTACTTCACCTGGGTGTTTCTTCACAAAAGAGGGAGAGGGGCTGGCTGAGCTCCAAGCTCAGTTGACTATTCAGTGGTTTTAGGACCGTAGGATTCCTTGTCGGAACCACCTGCATCAGGGCCAGGGATGGCTTCTCTGAGAGATAAGATCTCTTTCCACAAGGCCTCAGGGACTCCATCCCCAGGGTAGTCCTAACAGGTGGAAGTGAAAACGCTAGCAACAGGAAAGGAGCTGGTCAAAGACATCCTCCAGTCTTGCCTATGGGTGTCCCAGCCAAAAGCAAACTGTGGAAGCAGATCTTGTTCAACGGTGACCAGTCATTAAATAATTGAAAAAATAAAATGTTATTTTATCCACATGAAATTTGCCTCAACTACGTATGTCCCCCCCCCACACACACACACACACACACACACGATCATAGAGAGACACACAGCAGGAGCTCCCTGGAGTTGGAACACAGCTGTCACGTAAGGTGCATCGGAAGGGTGGGGGACACTATTGGGAGATGGCCCCGGTCGAGGGCACCAATTAGGCTTTGGATCAGGTTAGATAGAGGAAGTCATCCGTGAAGGGGAATTTACAAGGGAAAAAAAGTGCAGTTTTCCTTCAGGAGAACCGAGAATCCCTGAGTGGTGCGTGGGAAGCCAGCTAAGGGTGGGAGTTTGGGGGTTCCAGTGGCTCTCCCCTGGGGAGTGAGTCCACCTTTGGGCAGTCTTGGTTCTCCGCCTCCCCACCTCCAGCTCCTCTCGCCGGGGACCGAAGGCTGGTGGGGCCGCGAGGTCCCTCAGCAAGGTAGGGAGGCACGCACCTGCCCTGCGCCCCCAGGTCCCCGCAGCCGCCGGCCCCGCGAGCGCGGAAGCAGACGGGCACCACGCGCCCAGCCGTGAAGGCCCATGCAGCGGCCCCACCGCGGCAGAAGCACCGGCGTGGACCGATGGGCACCGGCGGAAACCCCTTCCCTCGCTCCGAACCCCAAAAGGCACCAGTGGCGTCAGGCACGAGCCCCAGGAGGGGCTTCCGCGGACGGGGACGGCAGCGGCCGAGGGACCAGGGGATGGGTGGTGGAGGGCGGGCCGGATGTCGCCCTCGGGGACCAGCGGCAGGAGGTGTCCCAGCGCCGGCGGAGGTGCTGCGTGGGCGCGGCGCCGGCGTTGCTCACCAGAAGAACACGCGCGAGCAGAGGTTCGCGTCCTGCAGCGGATTGGGCTTCACCGCCTGGTACACCGGCAGCATCTTGGCGGGCCGCGGGCGGGTGGGCAGGGGAGGGTCGCGAGCCGGGGACGCGCTGCTCAGGCGGCGGTTGCCGCTACCGCTGCTCGTGGAGGCGCCGGCGGAGATGCTGGAGCACCGGACGCCGCGCGGGTCTACCCCGCATGGGCGGGAGAAACACCCTTTTCCGGAAGCCGGGCGCCAGCGGCACGCCCCGCCTCCCCGCCCGCGCGGCCTCCGGGGGCCGCCTAGGGGAGGGGGGACGGTTGCACGCAGCCGCCTCGGGCCCGGGGATGCTGCGCTCGGTTCGAGCGCGCTCGGAGGCGGCGGCGTGGCCGGCGGGAAGGACTAACAGCTGGTCTCACACTTCACAAGAGTGCGGGGTGCGAGTCCTAGGGCGCAGCTGTGGGGTCCGCGCGTAGGTAGGAGGCGAGGAGGAGCGAGGCGGCGCAGCTGGGTGGAAGAGGTTAGGCGCACATCGCGGAGTGGAGAACCCGGCGCCACCAGCTCACCCCTTGGAGGCCGGGCCACGCCGAGGCACCCACGGTTGGGACCTGACTGCAAACTTTGCCAGAGTTAAAGATCAGAGCCAAGGCCCCGACACCGAAGGTGGGGGGCGGGGGCGCTGATTCAGCCCTCCCCTGCTTCTCAGAAACGTCTGCTGGGCTGCCAGTTGAAGAAGAACGGGAGAAAGCTGCCAGCTTTAGCAGCCCGCCCCCTGGGCGCATTGCCCTCCTCGGGACCAAACAAGGGTACCGTGCGAGGTTCTCCTAATCTGCCGGCGAAACTTTTCAACCTTGGACAACAGCAGAGTTTTGCACAGATTCTCTTTGTAGAGCTGCAAGACCTAAAGAAATGCAGGTGATTTAAGAGTTGTTGTTAGGTGCCCGCCAGTCAATTATAAGACTTAAGATGATTTTGGAAGATGAATAAATGCTGTCACTGGGGGCAGGCTTTTGGCATCTCACATGGATTGTAGGGTGGACTTCTGGGGCATTTTTGCTGCCCTCTTAGATTGAGAAAGGGAGGATATGAAAAAAGAGAGACTGTCTTATGATTTCTTGCATCTCGCTCTCACAGCCTAGCAGAGTAACAGTGGCAAAAAACAACATGTTAGAGAATACCAGTAATGCATGTTTCTGGGTACCTTACCTCATTTTTAGCTAATAAAGCCCTATTGAAGAAGCTATTGTCCCTATTTTACAGATGAGGAATGTGAGGCTCAAAGAGAGAGCTTATCCAAGGTCTAAAAAAAAAGTTGTGGTTGCATTCTGAGTCACGGTGACCCCATATGTTACAGAGTAGAACTGCTCCACAGTTTTCCTGGCTACTATCTTTACCAAAGCAGATCACGAGGCCTTTTTTCCGAGGCACCGCTGGGTGGGTTCCAACTCCAGTCCTTCAGGTTTGTAGTCAAGGGCAAACCATGTGTCCCACACAGGGAGCTTACAAGGGCTTAAGAGTTATTTTAATAAGGATGAAACCCGATTTAGACTCAAGTCTGAGTCTGAGCTTGGTTACCCTCACTGGTGGATTAGTCGATGTGGACAAAAAGTGCCCAAAATATACTGGTTGAGTGAATTATTATAGGCATGAATGAACAAAATCCTATCCCAGCTTTCGAACTCCCACTCATAAACCAAAAACCAAACCCACTGCTGTTGAGTTGATTCCGACTCATAGTGACCCCAGAGGGTTTCCAAGGCTGTAAATCTCTATGGAAACAGACTGCCACATCTTGCTCCCACAGAGTGGCTGGTCACTGCCGACCTTTTGGTTAGTAGTTGATTGCTTTAACCGCTGCACCACCAGAGCTCCTTTCCCGCTCCTAAATCTTCAGTTATTTGTGTGGCCACCTAATCTTCTCTTTAACCCTGAATGAGGAATAATCACAGGTTACAAGTTCATGGTGCTTAAAGCAAGATCACTTTATTATTCTTCAAAAATTTTCCATGTACCTTTATTAAAATAATCTTATTAATAATGGCTTTTAAAGCCATACTGTATGCAAACATTTTTTAAAAGTCAGTTGTATGAGAATTGCAAAATGTTGATAATTTTTGAAGCAGATGATGGGTGATGGGGGTTTACTATGCTATTTTGTGATATTTTATGTATGTTTGAGAATTTTAATCACAAAAGGAAAACAATTAGAGCTGAATAGTGTAAGAGAGGAGTCCCTGCATTACTTAAATGGTAAACACACCAACAGAAAGGCTGCAGTTTCAAGTCCACCCAAAGGCACCTGGGAAGAAAGGCCTGGTGATCTACTTCCAACAAATCAACCATTGAAAACCCTGTGGAGCACAGTTCTACTCTGACATGCGTCAGGTCAACCGTGAGTCGAAACTGACTTCACAACAACTGGTAGTGTAAGAAAACTACACTCTTTCTGTTACCTCTTTCTCAGATAAGGCACTCTATAACCAACAGAGTCAGCCCTTCCCGGATGTACAGTTCCTTTTGGAACTCCCTACATTATCTAGCCTTATAACTCTCAGCTATCGGTTCTACTTCAAAGCTGAAGAATCTGTTTGCTAGTTAGAAGTCTAGAGACTTCCCTTGTCAGTCTGTGCCAGACCTCAGTCTGTACTCCCCACAGCTATTCCAGAACCATAGCAGTCTCCAAACTGCCAAAACACTCAATCCCTTCAGCTTCTGCTGAGTCTTTTTTAATTTTTTTTTAAACTAAGATCTTTTTAAAACTTCTCAACATTTTTCCCTAAACCTTAACCAGTGTGGTATTCAGAAGCAATACTGAGAACTCTGGCTGTGGAGCAGGGGACAGGGTTCTAGACTTTTCCCTTTTTACCTAGCCTTTCTGACTCTTATTTTTCTCAGGTCTAAAAGGAAAATAAAAACTCTCACTCTCCCTACTTCATGGGGGTATTGTGAACCTCAAGACTTGTGAAAGTATTTTGTAAAACCTAAAACAATATATAAGAAGCCCTGGTGGCACAGTGGTTAAGCACTCAGCTGCTAGCCAAAAGGTTGGTGGTTTGAACCCACCAGCCACTCGGTGGCAGACAGATGTGGCAGTCTGCTTCTGTAAAGATCACAGCCTTGGAAACCCTATGGGGCAGTTCTACTCTGTCCTGTAGGAATGCTATGAGTGAGAACCAACTTGACAGCAATGGGTTTTAAGCCAATATACAAGTACAAGATTATTTTTTTCAATCATTCATTATTTGTTGACTGCCTTCCGGGTTCATGACAACTCGACCAGGTACTGAGCCTGTACAGATGTGGAAGATGCCATAAGAAGATATTTGTTTACTGACTTTAACTAGCCTGATACTGTAATCAAAAAGATAGACAATAACAGTGTTGGCAAGGACACAGAGGAATTCAAACTCTCCTGCATTGCTAGTGGGAATATAAAATGGCATAGCCAATTTGAAAACATTTTGGCAGTTCTTCAAAATGTTAAACATAGAGTTACCATATGACCCAGCAATTCCCCTCCTACATATATGCCCAAGAGAAATGAAAACATGTCCACACACAAAAAAAATGGCACACAAATGTTTATAGCACCATTATTGATAATAGCCAAAAAAGTGGAAACAACCCATTTGGCCATCAACTTATAAATGGATAAATAAAATGTGGTACATCCATACACTGGGATAATATTCAGCAATAAAAAGGAATGAATTACTGATACAAAAAGACCACTTATTGTATGAAATCACTTAATATGTTTTTCGCAAATAATGCACCTACATAAATAATGCACCCACACATACAACACGCATAGCACACCTAGGAAGATAATGCACGAGGGGGTTAAGTGGTTGGCAAAAAATGTATAACGCGCACGTTATTTGGGTAACAATAAGGTAAATGAAATGTCCAGAATAGACAAATCTGTAAAGATAAATTAGTGGCTGCCAGGGGCTGGGGAAGAGGAGCAATTGGAGGAATGGAGAGTGACCGCTAATGGGCACAGGTCTTCTCTTTGGGGAGATAAAGCGTTCTAAAGTTATGTTGTGGTGATGGTTGCACAATCATGTGACTATGCTAAAAAAAAAAAAGGCTTATAAATGACTTAATTGTATGGCATGTGAATTATATCTCAATAAAGTAGTTAAAAAATTTTAAGGTTCAATAAATTTTAGATGTTCGTATTACACCTACTATATACCACCTGATGACATTTGGATTAATAAATGCAATTTCTGCCCTTGGCATTGCTCACAGTGTTCTCTTTCATTTGTTCTGGGGTGGGGCCTGGGCATTGGTACTTTCTAAAAGTTCTTAGGTGATTGTAGGTGAATTAGGTGATTCAACGGCCAGGACTGAGAAGTACTGGGCTAGGTGCAGAGAGTTATGTGCACACAATAGCCATTGACGAGTATGAGTATTACAATAAATGAATGCACGGGATGCTAGAGAACACTAGTAAGGAGGCATTTTCACACAGAAGGAAGGTGGCTAAGGCGGTTAGAGGAAGTGTCATCTCAAATAGGTCTTAAAGAATCAGAACATCACCAGGTGGTCATGAGCCAAGAGGGGTGAGGATGTAGTCCCATGTAGAGGGAAAGGCACAACCAAGGCGCAAAGACATGATGCTACCTTGCCTGTCAAAGATACATTGTTAGAAAGGTTACTGGAGCTTACTCTAGAGCCCCGGTGGCACAGTGGTTAAATGTTTGTCTGCTAAGCAGAAGGTGGGCAGTTCAAATCCACCAGCCACTCCTTGGAAACACTATATGGCAGCTCTACTCTGTCCTGCAGGGCTACTATGAGTTGGAATCAGCTTGATGGCAACAAGTTTGGTTTGTTGGTTGAAGCTTACTCTGAAAGCATGGTCTGGGGTCAGGTTAGGAGAGGCTCTGTGAGCCACACTAGGGAGATGGGGCTGCATCCTTTCAATGAAAGGGAACCGTGAAAGGTTTCTATGTGTTGGAAAGATAAAAATAGTGTGATCACTAAGGTTGTATGTCAGCTTGGCTGGGCCATGATATTCAGTGGTTTGGCAGTTATGATGTAGTTTGGCAGTTGTATAATGATGTGATCAC